AATTAAAGAGTTTCACTTGTTATTTTTCTTCTTGGGTGGTATTTTCAATTCTTAAATGAGGCCATTAACTCCCACCTCCTAGGATGCTAGAAAAGGATGATAGGTAATGCTCAGCATAGTGACGGGATCATCAGGGAATGAAAATACTGTTTACTGTCATCTCTCTGAAATTCACCTAACATTATGGACCTCTTTTGTGATCACTGTAGTTCTAGGAAATATTTCACCCATTTTCTCTCCCTGGGCTGTGAGCTCTACCCAGTGACTTTAATGGGGAGGCAGGAAAGGATATTGTGGGCAAGGGATCAGCAAAGGTTTTTTCTGGGTCCCTTTGCTGTCAGCGAGAACTTTCCAGGAAGTGACCCATCCTCCCTAGCTAACAGCAGGCAGCTTGCCTCCCAGCACTGGTCCACAGAGAAGAGCGTGGTAAGGAGCCTGAACAGGGGCCCATGTACTGTCCCAGTGTCTGGGCAGCAGAGCCCAGAGCCATGGACACAGGCACACAAGCAGCTGCTTGTGTCGCACACTTGCCCTCAGTCCATCAGGAGGGGGCCATTCCTGGTTCCAGGCCAGAGTCCTCCTTAAATCTTCCCCAGAACTAAAACACTCCTTCCCCTACTCAGAAGGCTCAGCCCTAGTCCTATAAATCCGAAGGTAGGCATTCTGGTTTGAAACAAGTAGAAACAAGTCAAGGAAAATCTGGGAAATACTGTGCCACCTCCCAGGAAGAGGAAGTGCTGTTACTGAAGGAGATGAATGACAGGAAGCCCAGTACCACAGAAGAGACTAGTAGGTAGAGCCGGCTCCAGAAAGGCCCACCAAGTAAGAAACACTCCTGAGTTCTTCCACCAGAGCCGCCATTTTAGAGCATTGGTTGAAGTTGTGATGAGTGAGGCCTTTGTGGAGAGTGACTTTGTGAAGAATGACTGTCACACCAGCCCCTGACCATCAACCTCTGGTCTTTTATAGGAGGAAGAAATGAACTTGCATTTCCCTTAAGCCATCACTTTTTGGTATCTAAACCTCACAGCCGAAAATGATCATGATGGATACTGTGCTCAGTAACTTTTGTGTTTGTTATGTATCACGTGACCATAACTATTTAATGTTTGTCTTCCCACCACATTATAGGCTCCATAAGGACAGAGATCACAAGTGTATGACTCAGTATGTTCTCAAGGCCTGACCAGTGCTACACACATAGCACGTACTCAGTAAGTGTCTGTCAAGTGAGTTAGGAGTGAGGAATACCTCTGTTTATGCCCTTCTATGTCCTGAGCATGAGCACCAACCTGGGAACATGTATTCCTTAAACATCTCACTTAAAGCTCTGTGTGATGGCTGATTGTGTCAGTTTGAGGAACAAACACCCAACTAAATTGGCTCAGCACAGCCCTGGGTGTAAAAGATCCACCCTAGGGAGGATTATCACCAGAATAGTATAAAAGGGAAACAAAGAAGAAAGGCTTGCTTCTGTTGCTTTGGAGGACCTCCAACCCTCACCTTCATCTTGGATGTCATCTCCTGGCTTCTGGCGCAGATCTGTTGGCCTCCTGCACCAACTATTTGGCCTTCACACAGACGCTCAACCTTCTATCACAGACCCTTCAGGCTCCTGGTACAGACTCACACTAAACACTACAGTGAGCTCCAAGCCTTTGACTGGGTCCTTCAGATCCCCAATGCACAGAGAGGACTTTTGCACTCTTCCACATCTGACTCTGTGGATGGCCACCATAAGGCAATCTTGCCATCCGTATATATTTGTATACCTTGTGTTAAATCTGTTTTGTTAGTAGTTGTTACACCTCACTTCCTTCTGATTCCGTTCTTACAGCTGCTCACCGCCTACACTGCATGTTTTACAGATGGAGCCATTCTTACACCGTTTGGAGATCATTCTCTGGTTAGTTCCTGAACACTTGTGTCCTTGCTTTACAGGACGGTAGGCTATTATCAGGGAAAACACACTTCCTTTTTTTAATCACTGGGGGCTTAACTCCAATTCTTCATAAATGCATGCAGTGGAAAATAAATGTGACAGGTGGACACAGTTGTTCAGGTAGTAAAGAGATGGAGTGAGACAGGAAAACCTGTCAAGGTCCCAACCCCAACGCAGTGTTGGCACTTTGAGTTGGGGGTGAGGAGTAAAGAAACGACACAGCAGGCTGACACTTGGTAGAACACTTGCACTGGATGTATAAGGCCCCTGTGTTCAAGCTTCAGCACCACAGAGCAAAACTTAAATTAAAAGGAAAATGAGCAGTAAGACTGGAAAAAGTCAGTCAAAAGGTGGAATATAAATGAGAGAAGAGTCCCAAACGCCCTGGCGCAGATCTGGCCAAGTGTGGAAAAAACTTCAAAGATAGATTGATGTGTTGAAAATCATATGTATAAATGGCATTCAAGGGGTCTGCTCTTTAACTTCTAAACTAGCTAATCATTTGGCCTAGAAGGATTCACTTATTTATTTTTATCTTTATTATATTTTAGGTCTGACTAAATCATTGGTCTTTTAGCTATGCTCCATCCAAGAAGTCCAGTTAGAAGATCCAAGAAACTCAAATATAGCCCCTCACTATCTCAGCCATAAACATCTTGTTCCCTGCTCCTTCCTGCATACTTATCATGACATTTAATTTGTACACACCTTGTAATCCCAGCATTTGGAAGGCTGAGAAAGGCGGATCACTGTGAGGTTGAGGCCACTCTGAGCTACACAGTGAGTTCAAGGCCAGCCCAAACTACACAGTGAGACCCTGTCTCAAAAAAAAAGGCTATTAAACTAAAACAAAATCTGAGAATCAAGCTGTACTCAGTGATGACTGCCTGTAATTCCAGCTATTCAGGAGGCTGAGACAAGAGAATCTGAAGTTCAAGGCCAAACTGGACAACTTAGTGAAATTCTATCTCAAAATGTAAATTAAAAATAGAAGTGTGGGGGCAGACATGATCACTGGGCTCCATGACCTCTTTCCAACTGTACTAGGGTCTCTGGTTTTATGATTCAAAACTTGAACCCCTCCACAAAGAAGGAAGGGAACATACATGAACCTTGGTCTCCTCTGCCCAGCCAGACTATAATTCTAAGGGGGATAAATACGGACTTAAGGTTCTCAGCTTACCTCGACAAGCAAACAGCTGTGGCTTAGATTCCTAGATGTTTCACAAGCTTCTATAGTTTAATGATCAACAGTAAAAGCAGCAGAAAAGTCATGAGAAGTATTTACCATACCCTTGCAAGTTCTCAGGGTTATCAGGACTCCATACTGGGGGGTAACTGGGCCTCTGAGTTCCAATCTAAGTATTTCTATTCATACATACATATCTCTAATGTCATCCATGGTCTTTCTTCTTCTTCCCAGATGTTGTGCTGTTGTTTCTGGTGCTAGGTATCAAACCAGGAGCACTCTACCACTGAGCTACATACTCGGTCCTTTTTATTTTGAGACAGGATCTGGCTAAGTTGCCCAGGCTAGGTTCAAATTTGAAATCTTCCTCTGCCTTAGCTTCCCATACATACAGGTTATATGAATATTCATTTTTTGTGTGTTGAAAGGGTCTCACTATGTAGCCTAGGCTGGTCTGTGAATATTAACACTACTGAATTGTATGCTGAAAAATGGTTAAGATGCTAAAATTTATGAGTTTTACCACTGTGTGTGTATGAGTGTGTATGTGTGCTAGGGATCAAATCTCATGTATGGTAGATAAGCACTGTACCCTTCAACTACATCCCCAATCTCACAATTGAAAAAAAAAAAGAGTAGCCAAGTGTGGTAGCACACAGTTGCCGAAGTTCTACCTACTTATTGTGAAAGGGTAAGAAACTGCTTAAAGGGGAAAATAACTGGGATAGAGGGGCTGGGGATTTAGCTCAGTGGCATAAGCGCCTGCCTTGCAAGCGTGTGGTCGTGAGTTCGATCCCTGGTACTGGTAAAAATACAAAATAAAAAATAAAAATAACTGGGATAGGGGAAAGGATAAAAGAAGGAAGGGAAAATGAAAAAGATATACATTTGTTTGTATATGCATAAAACAGCTAACGGATGATTATACTACTAATTCTATTAGTTCTTGGAAAAGAACAGTTAATACTCATACAAGTAGGTCAATTTTACAAATCTGTATCTGGTAATCTAAGCAGCTCTTTTGAAGATAACAATATGCAATATTACAGCCATTGTTAAATTCCTATCATCTTGTTTTGAAAGCCTATATTGTTATTGTTTGGGGGGGTTGTTGTTCTTGTAGTTGTTGTTTGTATGTCTCTTGTTTTTTTTCTTTTCTGTATTTTTTTCTGTTTAAAGTAAATTTTAAAAAAAAGAAATTCCATCTACTTGAGAGACTGAGGCAGGAGGATCACAAATTCAAGCCCATCTTGGACAATTTAGTGAAATCTTGTCTCAAAATAAAACCAAATTAATTCCAGGTATGATGACACATATCTGTAATTCCAGCACTCAGGATGCTGAGGCAGAAATTTGAGGCTATCTAGTGAATTCAAGACCAGCCAGAGCTATATAGTGAGACTCTGTCTCAAAAAAAAAAAAAAATTAAAAGATCTGGGGACCTAGCTAGGTAGAGTATCTGCCTACCACCCATAAGGCCCTGAGTTCAGTTTCCAGAACCAGAAATAAGACACAGTATGGCCCCTTTGAGAAATTCCCAATTGGCTCCTTGTGTCCCCTGTCCTGGCCCCAACCAGGGGGCTAAGTAAGGTAGAGTGTGAGCCTTTGGAGAATTGAAGGGAGATGTACCTTTTCATACCCAAGAGTCTATACAGGGGGTCCCAGGCCTGACGGATACTCTACTTACAGATCCTTCCAGGGCTCTCACTGATGTGTCTGACCCCAGTCTTTCTAAACCCACAGGCTTTTGTCTTTCATCTCCCAGCTCTGAGTACATGAGAGGCTCCAGGTGAAAATCTTACATATGCACCAATATCTAATTAATTAATTAATTTGTTTTTTAAAAAATAACTCAGAGACAGGTCAGAATCATGGAACTTGGCCCAGCCTTGCTGGAGCTATTTATTTACCAGAAAGGCTATAGGTTGGAAGGTCCTTGGGCTGGTACAGTGAAAAGTCCGGGACTCCTTCTCCGTCACTATGGGCGTCTTGCTAACGCACCCTGGGGTGGCCAAGGCCAAGGACCAGGCACCTGAAAGAAAGTGCTACCTGAAAAGGCATGAACCCCGCTACATCCAGCCCCTTACCCCAGCCCTTATTACCACCTGGATGGTACTGACCCAGGGGAGCCAGGGAATGAAGAAGAACAGGGTAAAGAGGTCGGGCTCTTGATGCTTCTGTTTTCCACTTGAGATGTGCCTCTTTCATACCCAAGAGTCTATACAGGGGCCCCAGGCCTGGCAGACTCTGGGAGAGGCAGGAGGGTATGACAGTAAGGATCAAGATGGTATGAAAAGAAAAGGACATAGGGAGGCAGGGTAAGAAGGGAAAGAGGGCAGGAGCCGCTACCAAAATGAAGGGAAATGGTGGCCAAGCTACTCTCACATCCCGACCCCACGAGTTCTTTCTTAAGGGGCCAGACCTAGAGCAGGAGACCTCTAAGGCAGGTGGCATTGTGCGTAGGTCTCGGAGGGATCTGGAGGGACAGGCTGTACTTACCCTGCAGGAATTTGCTTTACCCAGACATGATGTGCTTGACAAAGGCTAGGGAAAAAAGTAAAAATCAGCCAGCCACTTCCCCTAGCCCCCCTCAGCTCTACTTCCCTCTCCACCTCTCAAACCGCCTCCCTCTTTGCTTCAGTTCAAACCTTCCCAATACCCTCTCTCCAGACTGTAAATCTTTCTCAGATGAAAAAACTGAAGCTCAGAGAAGATAAGTGACATAACCGAGTTGACACAGCTGGCATATCAATCACAGCGCTAGCTTCCAAATTCATCCTTTTCCCACTACACAGGGACATTCACTCCCAAGATGGGAAAAAACCAACATTCACAGGCAGTCAGTCAAGCCCATCTGATGCACACATCCTTTAGCCCTGGGCCCACCCAAGCCCTTCCTACACTCCACCTCCTGGGTGCCCTGGGGAGCAAGGCATGCTGGGTACCCTCATAATTGATGCAGCCATTGGCGTCTTCCTGTCCAGACAGCAGCTGCTCCACTTCAGCTTCGGTCATCTTCTCTCCTGGGATAGGTTTGGGAGATGGTGGCAAATAAGGGACAGGAAAAACCAAGTACTCCTAAGTCTGAAGGTCTACAACTTTGGATCGGAAGGTGGTTCATGTGAAGGCTCTCCCAAAGAATTTGGAGGGTAGACCAAGGGTCCTAAGGCCTTGCATACTTCCTGAAGGCTCTCATTTCAGGACCTCTCAACCCTCTATTCAGGACCACATAACTGAGGCAAAGACAAGGATAGAAGCCCTAAGTCCCCCTTTCGGGTCTCAGCAATAACCCCTGCTCTGCCAGGTGCTTTCAATACCAAACCTTTACTGCTAAGCAAACCCAACTGAGGGAGGTTGTTCCTACAGAGTTCAGGGAGATAGGCCATGCATTAGGACATGATCTGATGACTGCAGGGACCCCGGGCTATCTCCTCCCCCAACATATGTCACCTTGGCAACTCACAGTCCCCCATCCCTCCCACAGGGCTTCATTTCTGCCCAGGTGGCATACCCAGGGTGGCAAGGACATGCCGAAGTTCAGCACCCATAACTGTGCCATTGCTCTCCTTGTCAAAGACACGCAGCCCCTCTACAAAGTCCTCGTACGTGCCCTGCTCCTTGTTGCGGGAGATGTGCTGCAGGATGGGCAGGAACGTCTCAAAGTCCAGCATCTTGGCATTCATCTCTTCCAGCAGGCATGGAAGGACAAAGAAAGCAATGTAAGTGGATACTCAGGGGAGCACAGGGCCAAGCATCCCAGCCTAGCAGGATCCAGAGCTTAGGCTTTTGCTGCTTCTAGATGAGACACTCAGTCGTGACCCTGGAGGGGTCTGACAGACCTGCCCTCTGGAACAAAGTAAGAAACTTGGAACTTAGGGATTTTAGGCTCTGGGGCTCTTCCTCCCAGTGAAAAGAGCAGAACTGAAGAAAAAGGGAACTGTCACTCCACCCAGACCACCCAGAACTGTCACTCTCCCAAAGACCCTCCAAAGTCTTTGGGAGAGCCTCCGAGCTCCAGGTAGCCAGCTAGGCAGAGGGCCCGAGAGAGGCAACAGCAAGACTCGAGGGTCCAAAGGGCCCCACAGCAGGCCTCATATTCACAGTGTAGACTTTTGACATGTGTCAGATGTACAGTCACAGAGGTAAGCTGGTAGGAAGGACAAAATTAAATGTTGGCCTGAAGGCACAGCTAAGAGGTAGAGGATTTGCCTAACATATACAAGGCCCCGGGTTTGATCCCCAGCAATGCAAAAAATAAAAATAAATGTTTGCATAACTCTGCATTTGGGGACAGTACTATTACTAAACCACACTGCCTGAAATGCTCAGAATCACTAGTTTTCATAAATTTGCCATTCACTTATGAATAGCACACTTTCAATGCTGAAAGCTTTAATTAAATCAATTTTTTAAAATCTCAAATAGCACAAATTTTGCCTTGTATTTCCTTTCTAAACACTCACGAACCTCCTAAAACAAAAGAAAACTTCTTGACTTACAAGAAGTCCTGCTGACTTACAAAATTTCCTAGCCTCCAGAGCCTTTCCTGCCTGCATTGTTCACCCCTGAACTACTGATATCTCCAGCTAGAGGAGAAGGAAAAAAAGGCAAAACCAAAGAAGAAGGAGAGAACCAGTAGGAATTCCAAGCAGCTTCTAAAGACAGTCCGCCCCTGCTGAGACTCCTGCCTGGATCTACAAGGTCCCTGCTAGGGCCCACACCTCTGAGCTATATGCTTTAGGGCAGCTATTAAGTTTTCTACCGCAAATAGAAAATTATGTTTATAAAAGAATTACATATACTTCCTAAACTTTCTGAATACTCACCAAAATCCATCAAGTTGTGGTACAAATGAGTGAAAAAGGCTTCATTACAGAACAAATCTTGAATCTGCTCTAATTTATATTAAACAAATAATTTAAATGAATAATTTTCCAACTTTAGCACTCTAACCATTATTAGGGGGGAAAAACCTTTTGTTTTGCTTTGTTCTGTTTTGTTTTTGTTGGGGTTTTTAGTTTGGTTTGGTTTGGTTTTGGTTTTTGAGACAAGGTCTTGCTCTGTAATTCAGGTTGGCCTTGAACTCGCTATGTAGCCCAGGTTGGCCTTGAACTCATGGTGATCCTCCACCTCAACCTCCCATGTGCTGGAATTACAGGTGTGTACACTGTACCTGGCTGAAACAAAATAGTTTTTGACACAACTCACAAGAGTTATGGGACCCAGTACAGTCTGTGGTAGACACCTCAAGTAAGAGGTACTGCAGTGGGGACTGGAGTGGATAGTTAGTGAGCAGATTCCCACTCTACCTTCCTGTCCATGACCCTGGCATCTTGGAGGGGGATGGAGATAGGGGAGAGAGTGGGGTGGGGACAGGAACCAGCAGGAAACACTAAAGCAGTGTCATGTCCCTTCAGTACTGCCCCCACCCTGTCCTGGAACTCTAAATCTCATCAAGGGAACAAAAACAAACCCTGGTCACATTCTTCAAGGATCAACTAAGTGTCAGGGTTTCTAGGTAAGTTCTCAAAAATAGGACAAGGGTATCCTGGGTAGGAGAGGCTTGTCCTAAAGGAGTAAAGGGGAGAAAAGAGAATGGGACTGAGGGGAGACAAATCCAGACCAATTCAGGCTACAGGGAGGACACCACACCAGGAGACTTAGCCTGGGACCACACTGACCTTCAGGCTTGGGCTTGCCCAGGACGCGCAGCACCTCCGCATTGGTGGGGTTCTGGCCTAGGGCCCGCAGCACATCTCCACACTGCCCGTAGGTTATCTTCATCTCTCCAACGGGGGTCCGGTCAAACAATGAAAAGGCCTCTTTAAACTCTGTGAAGAAGAGAAGAAGGTGGCTGGGGGCTTTTACTGTGTCAGGGAGAAGGGCCTAGCTGGGTTCCATCCCTGGTACAGGGAGAAATTTTAAAAGTCAATATATTTCCCTTTGGCCATTGTCCCACGCTTTCCTTGAAATCACCCCACTTCATCTTCTGATAAAGATGTATATCCTGCTGCCACCAAGACCCAACCAGTGCTGAGCCTAGGTGCTCTTCCGTCAGTCAGTTGTTACACAATTTGAATGTCACCTCTTGCCTCTACTTCCTCATTCTTCGCTGATGTAGGCAAGGATCCTGATTTTTGGAAATGGCAGTTCCTGGGTTCTCATCTTGGCTCTGCCACAGAGCAGAGCAAGTCACACTGGGTCTCAGTTTCTTTGTGCACACACGGAAGTACCAGCCCCCTTCCACCTGCCTCTCCTTTTACTGTGTCAAAGGAGGTGACAGAATGTGGAGGCATTTTGCAAAGCAACAATGCCTGTTCAAAAGTGAGCTATAATTATAACTCAGCACTGCTTGCCTCAGACTAAGAGAGACCTCCCAGGCTAGCCAAGATGACACCGTTGCTACTGTCAGACCACATCAGCTCTGCCACTCATCTAGATGTTGTCTTGGGCAAACTACCAAGCTCTAGGAGTCCTCTATTTCTGAGATCTAGCTGGAGATATGATTCCCACCTGAGTGGGCTGCTGAGTGGGGGAGTCATACACAGTATCTAGGGAACTGACACAGGGTGGTTATGATGAACTTAGTTCCCTAGCCAGATCAGTTCTAAAAAGACTGAATGCCTTGAAAGCAGTGGTACTGGAATCCAAGGGATGAGGCCACATAAAGGCACTCCTGGGTCCTTTGCTAAAAGCCTTAATTCTTTGATAATTTGGATTTGACCAATTCATCAGTGGGAGCGATTTGAACTGGAGTGGACAAGTCATTTGTGCTACTTTCAGAGAAGTGATTCACTAAGCAGATTAATAATGTAAACCAATAAAGAATGTGCAAGCTACTTAGGAGAAAAGCTGTTTTTAATCCTTCCTAAGTCCTTTAGAAATACTTGTTTGCTTAGAGGCCATATATGAATTATATACAAATCATTCCACATGTCGAAGGAGATTCTCTGAGCCCCTTATTTAAAATACTTTACTAGGCATGTATTTAAAATATATAAATGTCTTTCACATTACTGAATAAATGAATTCAAACTCCATTTGTATTGCTTATTAGCTGTACAACTTTGGGAACAAAAACATTTCACTTCTATAAACTTCTATAAATGATACCTAATTCACAGATGATACTGAAGGATTCTCAACTAATACTATAATGCATGTAAAAATCTTAACACAATGTCCAGCACATAGTAGTGATCATGTATCATCTGAATTTTATTTCCATTTTATCACTTTGTGATCTTGGACAACTCATTTCACCTCACTAAATCTTGATTTCCTCCTCTATAAAAAGAAAACGTATACATCTCACCTCACCTCCTTGTTATAAGGATTTAATTTTTCGTTTGTTTGGAGGATTTGGATTTTTTTATTTTTGAGATAGAGTCTTGTTATGTAGCCCAGGCTGGCCTTGATCTTGCCATGTAGCACAGGTTTGGCCCTGCCTCTGTCTCCCAAGTTCTGCAGCTTCTGGTATGTGCTATCTCATTAAATCTGACCTAGCTCAGATTTCAATGTTTTTGATATTTAAAAAATTAGCATGGTGCCTGCCACAAGTTGTCTTCAATTACTATGTACTTATTAGTTCACTCTGAATTCAGACTTTCAAACTCCTAATCCATTCAGATAAGCAGAGTCAGATTCAATAAGAGAGGGACTTTCTTCATCTAAGAATATATGATGATAAAAGACCAGAATAAGAAAGGGAAAGTAATATACAAATGATCTATTATTTGAGCACTCACCGTGGACCAGGTTCTGAACTGATAATTCTGCATGGACTACCTCATTAATCTTTACAAATACTTCAGATTATAGATAGTATTATCCTCATTTATAAGTCAGTGCAGATGTGACTGCTAACCAACTATTAAGAAAACCAAAGAAATAGTAGGAAGAAACAGGAAGAGAAAGAAACCAGCTTTTCAGGGGGCTGGGGATTTAGCTCAGCGGCATAAGCACCTGCCTTGCAAGTAGGTGGTCGTGAGTTCGATCCTTGGTACCGATAAAAATGAAAAAAAAGACAAAAACAAAACAAAACAAAAAAAGAAACCAGCTTTCCATACCAGCGAATGGTTACGTGGGAACTTGCTGGGAAGCCCTATGCGCATATAAAAGCCAAACACTGAAATTTAAGATTATTTCTAGGAAAAATCAAAGCCAGCAGTATTAGAGATTGGTTATGGGTCCCGAAGAAACTTCTCCTCAGGAATCTGTAATAGCTTGGTCCACTACCTCAGAAAACAATGAGTCCATCCTAGAAAGATCAGGAAACCTAAAGTAGGACCATAAAGGGAGTCAACGGTTAGAAGCCAGTTCCTGAATTAGATATGGCAGTATATGTCTATAATGCCAGCATTCAGGAAGTTGAGGTAGGGGGATCATGAGTTTGAGGTTAGCCTGGGAAACTCAGTGAGACTCTTTCTCAAAATAAAATTGAAGAAGAGGATGAAGAAAGGGGAGGAAAAAGAAGAAGGAGGAAAAAAGAAGTTATATCCTATAAGGAAAAGAAAAGTATAAAAGAAATTGGGGCCACCTCACCTAAAGAATATTTAAAAAGAAGAAATTTGATACCTATCTCCAAACAAATGGAAAGTATGCTTCCATTTAATGGAAGATGGAAAATGCTAGTCACCAAATTTCTGAAATGAAGGGAATCAAAAATTGTCACTTTGCATATAAGAAAAAATTAAGGTTTAAAGACATAATTTTCTCAAATTCTTATGGCCAATAGTGGCAGAATATGGGGTAATACAATAATCTCCTGATTGCTGAAGAAAATTTTCTCTGCAGTAACACCAGCTAAAAATCAGCAGCAGCTTTATCAAGAACAAATAAGGTAACAACCAGGATAAAGTAAAGCAGGGACAGTTCTGACCGACACAAGGAAAAACACCTTCAAAGGTAGGAGATTTAAAAAAATCAGAAAAAGCTAGCCCCACCTCCCATCCCTAAAAACTTTCAGGCTACAAGAAACTCAACCACTGTCCCAGTTTGCTTTGACCATGGTTCAAAACATTTGGAAAATGAAAAAAAAAATTTATCGTTAATTGATTTTCTAGTCTTTATTGTGCTGTGTGATTTGTATAACTGCAAAAGAATATTAATTAAACTAGACTAAAATTAACTTTAAGAATTTCATAGCACCTCCAAAACTATTGACTGAAGGTGACTATCCACAGATTATTACAAATACAGGCAGATTCAATTCACTAGTTTCAAAATCCATGTGTCAGCTCTCGTATTCTACTCCTGGTTAAAGTGGTGTCACTTCTTTGGAGGACAATTTAGTAATAACTGCTGCAATTGAATGCACATAACCTTTCACCTGCTGCTGGGAGGCTTGCTTAGACACGCTGCATCTCCCACTAGCAACAAGCTGAAGATCTACAATGTAGTCTCAGTTATGCAAATAAATGGCAATTATGAAAAGACATATGAAGTTATTATTAAATAGTATTTTATATATTATTTAATCCAAATGTTCATAGTTAAGGTATAGCACAGCATATATCACATGGTTCAATATGTATATAAATTTTATACATTCATATGCAGTTCTATATTACTATATATTTTTCTCAAAAGCTACATAGAGACTTTTTTTTTAAATCAGTACCAGGGATCCAACTCATGACCACACGCTTCCAAGGCAGGTGCTTATGCCGCTGAGCTAAATCCCCAGCCCCAACTTTTTATTTTTTTGGTACTAGGGATTGAACTCATGACCACCGTTCCAAGGCAGGCACTTACGCCACTGAGCTAAATCCCAGCCCCACATAGAGACTTCTCAACAGTCTTCTCAACAGACTGTCTTTGAGAGGGATCAGCGTGAGAAAAGTATTTTTATTATTTATTTTAATATCATGTCTTTGTTATTTTTTGTTTTATCATGTGCTTGTATTAATTTACTTTTAAGACAAAGTGTGTGTTTAAAATGAAAGAGTTTAAGGCCGGGTAAGGTGGCACATGCCTGTAATCATAGCACTGGGAAGGCTGAGGCAAGGGAATCGTTGCAAGTTCGAGACCAGCCTGGGCTACAAAGTGAGCTCAAGGAGAGCCTGAACTGCATAGCAAGATCCTGTCTCAAAAAGACAAAAAATAATAAAATAAAATAAAGGAGTTGGATCAGGTGATCTTTCAAAGTTTTTTCCAACATCTATGATTTTCTATCCTGGAGACATTTAGTGGAGGAAACAGAAAGCTAAGTTGCAATGACAGTGATCTTAGAACACATAACTTTCATAAGGTGAAGCATTTTATTCTTGAAACACCAGACTCCTAAAGGAACATGGCTAAGGGAGAATCAGGTTGGAAGAGAGAGATCTTAAGATCTATTTTGAGGTTATATTTAGTAACACTATACATAAAATTGAAGTGACATAAATCATCCCACTAAAGATAGAGAAGGCCCTGTGATGCCCCTCTGCCATGCCACCCTGTGTTGGAGCCAGTCAACTATGAATTGAAACTTCCATAAACTATGAGCCAAATAAATCTTCCCTCCTTTAAAAGAAAGAGACAGAGAGAAACAGAGATAGAGACAGAGACAGGAGACAGACAGAGAGAGTGAGAGAGAGAGAGAGGAGTCATTGGTAGGGACCACAGGTGGAGTAGGCCACCAACGGATCACCATAGGCCCTGCCACCACTAGTGTGTGAGCATCTTGGCAGACTTCATGATGGGGCAAGGGGAAGCTGGTAACCTAAGGAGGGTTTTCCAATAATGAAAACAGACAAGAACTTCCAAATGTCTCGAGTAGACGTTAGAGGTGAAGGGAAAAAAGCACTAACATTTGCTGAGTATCTACTTAGCTCTAGGAACTAAACTAAATGGTAGTGCCATTAAGAACACAAATCTGGAATTAGAAATACTGAATTGAACACTGAGTGCCACCCAAACTCCAGTGCCTCACTTTTGTCACCTGGTAAATAGAACTATTTCATAGGATTGTTATGGGAATGAAATGAGTAATCCACATAAAGTACTTAGGACTGCGCCTAACACATGGTAAGTGCTCACCATAGGTTTGTGATGATTATAATAATTACTGTTACATGATGACAAGAACACTTTGCCTTTCTCCTTATCTAAGAAAGTGCAACTGAAGGGAAAATGTGGGATTGTTCATACTCACCTTCAATCTGGTCAGCAGAGAAGTCTATCTGCAGGGAGGGAAAAACAGAAGTGAAAGCTGAGACTCTGGAGGGTTCCAGAGAGAAGTCTGGTCGCTTCCAACGGGCCGCTGATGAAGAGGAAAGCAGTGCACACGTAAAACACCGGGCTCCAGAGGACACGCTATAAAATAATGCAGCCTCCAAAGCTCTCTCAGTACCAAGACAGAGAGAGACCAAGAAATAATCGAGATAACTCCAGAATTTACCATAACTCCCTTTTGTAATTTCTTTGGGTCAAAGTTAAATTCTTCATCCTAACAAGCCCTCAACTGCACTCGCTTTCAGCTCTGCAATCTCTCCCTGATCACGGTTCTCCAACAAGCTGCATCTCTTCCTGCTTTGGGTGCCCAACACTCCCTGCCCTTGGACTCCTCTCCATTTGGTGCTGACTATAGATTTACCTGCTTTTGCTACTTCTTACTGAAGTGTTTGATACATAGCAAGCATCCAAAAAATATCTGTTGAATGAAGGAGTAAATTTTAGATTTCATCACGCATAATTCATGCTGGGTACAAACGAGGAAAATGTGAGCTCTGGAAATGAATGGCAGTGACCAAGCATGAGTCATGAGTTTAATCAGGGCCTTTTATGTTACTTCATTGTCTTACCCACTCCACATTATCCCACCCTATCCGCTGATCTTCCCAGTGTGGTGGATAACGCCGTTAGAGCATCTTCTTTATGTGCAACCATCCCTAGTCCTAACCCTGCTTCTCACAGTGTGTGCACCCTTCTCCTCACCTCCCAGAATTCACTTCCATAGTAAGGACTCCTGGAGCGTGAGCTCCAGGAGGAGTTGGGAATGAAACCAGCTATGGTCAGGAGTGGAGTTTGCCAAATGTGGGTGTTGGGGTAGTGGTGAGGAAGGGAAAAAAAATCCCTAAGTAGAGTAAAAGATGCTCTGCATTAACCCGAGGGGAAAGGTACTGTTTGCCTTGCTTTGCAATGCATTATACTCCAGGAGTAAGTAAACTAATGTAAAAGCATAAAATTTGACTATACTGTTGTAGCTGCACACGTCTGGCGAGCTTTACTTTTGATCTCCCTTTGAGCAAGGAATTTTATAAGCATAGGAACTGAGGAATATAATAATAGGGAAAATGGCTCTCATGAAAGATGCTGATTTTTTTTCCTACTTTAAAGCAACTTCAGTGACCTCAAGATTTGAAGATGCAGGCAGAGTAAACAGCAATCAGGGATGGGAAACTGGAATACCAGGCAGATGGAGGGAAGTGATGAGAGAACACCCATTTAATGCCATCAGGCAGCTGTTATCTAGATGCCAGCGATCAGGCAGAGTGCTTTATCAGAATAAATCATAAACAAAGCGAAGGAGGGGTCCTGAGGGACAGATGGTCAGTCTCTCTTGTCAGGCTTAGCTCACAGAGGGAACAACATACAACACAAAAAAATCTCAGTTACTTTCAAGGTCTTAATATTCACCTCAGTTTCCCCAGAGAGAGCCAATGGAATGGAGCAACTGCCTCCACTTCTTGACTGAGTCTGTTCTGTTTAATTCTTGCCCCTTGTGAGGGCTATTTTGGCTCAATCTCAAGGTCTCTGACACAGTAATGGTAGGATATCCCTGCTCTGATTGCTGGGAATCCTGAAAGGCTCACACGGTGAGAGCCCAGGGATTTAGGTTCCCTCTATCTGTCATGGAAAACGGTCCTGCACTCTCATTTTTACCTAATTCCCCACCACGCCCAGCACTGCTCAAAGGCTGACATCCCTAGGGCCCCACCACTCCCGCCTGGTATTAATAACTTTTCCCCCCAGTTGCCAGTTGACGTCTCCCATTCTGGTTGCCAAGGCATAAAACTGTCCCTTTCTGGAGCCTTCGGACCCCTCCCCCGCAGCCCACCTCCTCCCTCTTCATTCCTGCAGCAGCTGGGCTGAAACTGGGAGGCCTAAAATAGCCAGCAGGTCTCTCGGTATATCACATCTCCTTGAAGCCTGGGTTCCTATAGGGCAGATATTTTTCTCATTGTTCACTGAAATGCTTGGCGCATAGCAGGCACTCAAAAAATACCTGTTGAATGAAAGAATGATTTTTGGATTCGGTATGAGGGAACAGGGTGGGGCAGGTAGGATATAAGCTAAGGGGAGCTGAGGGCTAGTCTGCTGCAAACCACCAAAGGAGAGGCTCGTCTGGCTAGGGAAGAGGGAGAGAGGGACCTAGGCTCCTTTACCTTATCCACAGCCACCTCGCAGAAGACTCTTTGTGAGTAAAGCCCTTCCCAAGTTCCAGCACAGAAGGAGCAGCCCACCCCAGACTGTCCACATTCTTCATCCCACATTCCACTGGCAGCTATCACTGGGTATCTGTCCTCCATAAAGATATCACACCACCTCCTAGGAAAAGATCAGTCTCCTTTATTTGACTATGGTGGCCTCTATATTGCCTTTTAAAAGGCTAAATACTAGCGCTGGGGGTTTAGCTCAGTGGCACAAGTGCCTGCCTGGCAAGTGTGAGGTCATAAGTTTAATCCCTGGTACCAAAAAAAGCTAAATACTCGGTCTGTTATACTTCCCACCAAGCCCAACTCTGGACAAATCTGAGGTGACTAGGCTGGGCCTCCTTAAATAGAACAACACCCTGTTCTTAGGGGAAGGGGCCTATACCTCAAGATGCCTTTCATTAGCCTCTGTCCAACATGGGTTCCACTGGCCCATGGGGCTGTGACTTGGGGCATAGACACCACAGGCCTTACCCTTGAGGGATCCCTAAGCTCCAGGGTAAGCAGGATCCTGAAAGTCATCCCCACCCCTATCCTACGGGTGGAATTTCACTTACCTTTACACTCTTCGGGTCAAAGACTTGTTCCTTGGGAGGTTCAGGAGCTGAAGCTGGGGCAGGGGCTGAGGTAGCAGCTGGGGCTGGCTTGGCCACCTCCTTCTTAGGTTCAGGCTTCTTGGGAGGCATATTGTCTTACTGGAATCTTCAGAGAAGAAGCACTTAAGGAACAACCAAGAGATGCCAAAGCAACCAGCTCCTGATAGGCAAGATAGGAGACTGGGCCACCTCCTTCCTCTTTTATCCTGGGCAGGAGCCCCCACAGAGGGGCTGGGTGAGAGCAAGAGCTACTGCTGCTGCCTATAAAAGGAAGAAACACAAGCAGGGTACAGCTGACAACTGTATATTGTCACTAAGTCTGGAGCTACCAGCCCCCTCCCACGTGTGCACCGCACTCCCCTCAGCCTCCACCTCTGGGGCAGGCTGCCAATTGGTGGACACCCACGAGAGGGTCAGGAAAACACTCTCAAAAATGCCACAGCAGCTAGAGAGATGAGCTGACATGGGCAGTTGATAACCTTCACACAAAGCCCAGGGGAAGCTGAGGCTTTTTTTAGCCCCTCCTGAGCAGAAACAACCCCTGCACATTCCTTTAAAGCAAGATCCTTTAAGCTGAGAGCCACTCTGGGCCCTCAGCTATGCCCTGAGGCTCAGCTCACCCAGCATGGAGCCCAGCCAACAGCTGGTCCAGTCAACCCTGCAGTCCCACGCCCTCCCAATCAGGAGGGTAAAATCCATTTTTTTAGAAGGCATCCCAGGAACTCCACAGACCTCAAATCCCTACCCCTCCCTACTCTCAATCAGCCAATCAACAAGTACAGATTACTTAACATGTCCCAACTGGATCTGGGTGAAAAGAAATATTATGACAGAAAATAAGGAGATTGGAGGTCAGAAAACTTGGACTCTAGTTTTTGCTTTAGTTCTAGGTCATTCTATGCTCCCTGGACACACGCATTCTGCGTGTATGCGTGTGTGTGTGTGCGTGTGTGTGTGTGTGTGTGTGTGTGTGTGTAGTGCATTCTATGTGCTAGCAACTATAAAGCACTATTCATATAAACTCTTATTAAATCTTCACCACAGTTTTACAAGATGGTGTATGGCTGATACAATTGTGTCAGCTTGAAAAGTTTCGAAGTTTAACTGAAGGACTCAGTGGTGGGCCAGGGTCCTCACTTTGTAAACATTCTCATACTGTGCAACAGGACGGTGGGGAGATGGTGTGAGTGATACACCTGCCCTGGGGGAGGGAAGGGGGGAAGAGGCTTGCTCCCCCTCTTTTTGCTCTTGCTGCTTTGGCTGTCTTCTGCCCCTGGAACTGTTGTCCCTGTACCATGCCACTTTGCCCTGGAACCAGCTGATTATGGCCTGAAACCTCCACAGACTATGGACTAAATAAACTTTTCCTTCCTTAAGTTTGGGCATTGGGTGTTTTGTTCCAGCAATGAGAGAAAAATAACCACGCAGGTGGATACTATTATTAATCTCACTTTTCACATGAGAAGATTGAGTCTAAAAAAGTAACTGTATAACTTGGCCAAGATCATTCAAATAATTAGCTCAGAACCTGGATTAGAATCCAGGTGTGTTTGATTCTAAAGCGTGTACCTGAATAATTTATATTTAGTCCCATCTATGGAGAGAGGAAAAAGAATAAATGCCTGTGTGTTCATCAGGAATATCAGGGTAGAACAGGACATGATGGTACATGAACATGATCTAGGAGACTGAGGCAGAAAGAGAGCAAGTTTGAGCCCAGCCTGAGCCAGTCAGCAAGTTAGTGAGATCCTCTCCCAAAAGTTAAAACTATAAGCAGCCAGGTATGTAGCTCAGTGTGAAGGTCTGGGATGGATCGCCTGTCCCATAGAAATAAGAAAAGAGGGCCAGGTGTGCTGGTGAACACCTGTAATCCCAGCGCAGGAGATCACCACAAATTCGAGGCCAGCCTGGGCTATACAGTGAGTTTTAAGGCCAGCCTGAACTAAAACATGGAGACACTGTCTCAAAAAACAAGCAAAAGAAGAAGAGGAGGAGAAGGAGGGAGAGAGGAAATGGAAGCAGAGGAAGAAAAGAAACGAAAACTTAAATGTGGATACACCATCAACCAACTGTTAACAGGAGAAGCCCCTGGGGACCGAGAGGACAGGGCAGGAGAACCAGTTTGCAGTTTCCACTTCCCATGGAAACTTTTACAACACCGCATGTGCTGTTTTTATTTTTAAAAAAAGAAAAGACAAGAAAAAACATTTTGAAAGGCAATAAAATATTCAGAAAAACAATGAAAACGCTTATCCATCACAGAACTGCCTTGAGCTAATCTTTAGATGCTGAGGGTTCAGAAGAAAAAGAGGAATAAAGCCGAAAGAAGCACAGAAGTCACTTTGCCTTTGGCCCAGTTTTCTCACCTATGAAACACCCATTGAGGGCTAGGGGTTTAGCTCAGCGGCATAAGCACCTGCCTTGCAAGCAGGCGGTCATGAGTTCGATCCCCGGTACCGATAAAAATGAAAAAGAAAAAAAAAAAAAAAAAAGAAAAGAAAAGAAACACCCATTGCTACACAAAGAACCCCTGGGACTTATTAGCTGCAAAGCCTGCCATCCTAGGTGCCCTGAAGACCACACTTACCCGTCCCCAGCTCCAAACCTCAGGTTTGCTCTTTTAGGTTTTACTGCCAGAGCCAAAGGGCCCTTAGAGAGCTTCAGGCCCACCCAGTGTCACAGGCAGGCAGGGACCTAAGGCCCGGGCCTTGTGGCTACCAGTTCTGCTCTGCACTGCTGTCCTATATCAACGTGGCCCTCCGCGGCCTGTACACAAACTCACTGCGCTTCCTTTGAGAAACAGAGTCTGGAAAAAGCTCCAGGAGTTGCTCAAAGGGCTTCTAGAGCAGAGCTTGGGCCCGGTCCCCTCCCTTTCTCTTTCTTCTTAAACACCCAACCCGACTCCTTGTTGACCATTCCCTCCTACCTGTGTGAGTCTCTCTAGACTGCTTCCTTGTCACAGAGGTCAGAAGCACAGGTTAGGGATGAGAGGGACGAAGAAAAAGAGGAAGCCCAGACCCCCCTCCATCTTTGCCTCCCCACTTCCCAAGCCAAGTACCCTGCAGTATTTATGCAAAGACACCCTACCAGGATTTCTGTGCAGAGTTACAGGCTGGAACCTGCATGACCTAGACACCAATGCTGGCTTCATCCCTCTGTGCCTCAGCTTGATTATCTCCACAATGAAAGATAATCAGGAGCTTTCAAAAAATGTTCTTGTTGTTCTTGTTAGCAGTATTGGGCCTAATACCCAGGGCAGCAAACTCTTATCAGTGAGCTACATTCCCAGCCCTAGGAGATTGTCCTTGTCTGTCCTCTTAAAAAAAAAAATGTGAAGGAGAAGCACATGTGAGCATCCAGTCTATATGAAATCAAGCTATGAAATTAGAAAGCCAAATGGGCTCTATGACTACCTAAAAATGTAGAATGTGGACGTGGGAGGCAGATGATATCTCTGGAGCTACTTCTTAATCTTAGACTGAATACTTGACCGTTAGTGATAAACAGCTCCTTCTCAAATTGTGAGGTTTATAAGCAATAATATAAACAAAGCACCTCAAACACCCCGCCCCCCCCCCAGTGTAAAAATATACCAGATGCTCACTTCCTTTTGTTTCCCCAGGCATACAAGCCAGAGATACATTCAGGCATCTCAGATTTTCCTGAAGGCACTCTCTTCATAAGAGAGGCACAAAGTAAGAAAGGTGACACTGACTAAAAGAATTGTTAGGTGTGGGCTCAGGAAGGAGGAAAGGGAAGGGGTGATTTAGCTCAGCTGCATAAGCACCTGACTGGCAAATGCAAAGTTATGCGTTTCATCCCTGGTGCACGGAAAAAAAAAAAAAAAAGTGGAAGGGAATGGAAGAGGGGCAGGGCAGCAGCTGAGACCCCAGAGTGTGAAATATTTGTGGCTCAGAAAGCATGTGACAGTTCCTAGGGTTAGGCAGCCGCCTGTCAGCAAACACTCAGAGAAGAGTCTGTCTGAAAGCTCAGGCCACAGGCACCTAAGCAGGGGAGGAGACACTCTCCAAATCAGTTTCCAATTCTCTTTCAGCAACCCCAGGAGAAAAAGTGCCTGTATTGTATTTTAGGAGAAATTAGAGAAAAACCATGGTTTCAGGGAAAGGTTTCAGGTTTTATGGCATTGAGGCCTGATATAAGACACTGGCCTTGTTTTTACTGAAACTCAAGATGCTCACAATTCATTTAAGCCCAGTACTCTACCTGGAACTAGAGGGTCCACTTCTTATGGCCCTCATTCTGTTTCCTCCTCACTCACTCTGACCTTCAAATCTCATCCTTCTAAATTACCTTTTCCAGGGCCTAAAACAGGGACTTAGCCTCAAGTGCAAGTTGGCCAATCAGAGAAAAGGAAAGTAGCAGATGCAGGAGTGTGAGGAGATGCGTGCAACAGTGAGTCCTGGCAGCCTGACAGCGGCCTCTGGGAAGCATCTAGTGGCTTCTGATCCAGAGTCACTCTGGTCACCAAAATGGTCCCCCTGGAAGGACTTCAAATACAGTGGATTGAAAATGTTGGAGAGAATTCCCACCGACCGGTTAATATCAGATGTCAAATTCAGAGACAAACTCACAGAAGAGAAATTACGTCAGTCCCCATTTGGGCTGGGCCCACAAGCACTCATTCCTCATCCTCCCTTCATCATTAACCACACACGACCTGTCTGGCCCTGAGTGAAATCCATGAGGATCTCTGCCTGGTCTCGGATGCTGCTGACAGCAGGCCAGGGCCGTTTTGTCCTGTCACCCTTCCCCCTCTCTTCTTGTCCGAGTCTCATAAACCTGGACATCACAAGGCAAAGCCTTGGCCGGCACTGCGTTAATCCATCCCCATGGAAGACCAGCAAGGCTAAGAGGGCCCACGCTGGCGCCTGACTCCCCAGTTTAAGTCCTGACTCAGTCCCATGGGCAAGCTAGTTCATTTATTTGTACCTCAGTTTTCTCATCTGTAAGATGAGGCTACAAATATAATTTCATAGGCAACTGTGAAGATTAAAGTATCATGCTTAGAACAGGCGCTTGCACAGAACAAGTGCACAGAGTCCTCAAGCTTGGATCCTGACTGAAATGTAACTGCCACTCCCTCTCCCAAGGACAAAAGCAAAAACTTTATAGAGAAAAACTACCAAGAAATTGGGAGAATTGTGAGAAACTCCTGGGAAAAGGGCAGAACCCTTTGCACTGGTGTGTATGTGTGTGTGTGTGTGTGTGTGTGTGTGTGACGGCTTTGATTTGGGACAGTTGTTAGGCACAGTTGCTATGATTTAAAAAAAAAAAAAAGAAAAATGATTCTTAGAGTTCTGATCCCTGTTTTTCTCTACTATTGTTTTGGAACAAACAGAGCTACCGCTTTACCTACCATGACTCAAACCTGTGTTTCAGGATTAGTAGCAAAATTGTATCAGGGCACTGACAATGCACTATGCTTGTGAGAAGCTGATAAAAAGTGGGAAGCAAGCTAAATTTGGATACATGTTTACCCTCTGAGCCCCTCTACACCCCCAGGATAAGTAAGTTATAATCCCAGAAATGCCTTCCCCTAAGGCTAGTCCTCTCTGGGAAAATGTGGGAATTTCAGTGCCTAGGGTTCCCAGTTTTAGGATTCACTAACACTCATGTGCACCCTCTGAGTTCAACAGTACTGATAATCACTGCTGGAGAGATCAAACTATATGTCCCAGGGCAAATATAGATGAGGAGCACAACCAATGCAAAAGATATAACTTACTTGACTATACGTTACACCTAAAGTAGCTACAATAGATGGACCAAGATTTAAAAGCAGCCTAGGAAATATGCTAAAACAAAGGAAAATATTAACAATATAACACCAGAGTAAGAAAACATAACCAAACAGACACACAGCAGTATTCTCAGCTACTTGGGAGGCTAAAGCAAGAGGATCACAAGTTGGAAGCTAGCCTGGGCAACTTGGTAAGAGCCTGTCTCAAAACAAAAATAAAAAGCACAGAGGCTCAATGGTGGAACACTTGGTTTAGTATACGTGAGGCCCTGGATTTTATCCTCTATGAGAGAGAAAGAGGTGGGGAGGGCAAGGGGGAAGTGAGGGAGAGGAGAGGGGGAGGAGGGGGGAGGAGAAGGGGGAGGAGAAAGAAGATAAGGAAGGAGCAGCCACAAAAAGTGTAACAGGGGGGCTGGGGATTTAGCTCAGCGGCATAAGCACCTGCCTTGCAAGCAGCAAGTCGTGAGTTTGATCCCCAGTACGGATAAAAAAGAAAAAGACAAAAAAAAAATTAAAAAAAAAAAGTGTAACAGCTAAAATAGGGGGAAAAAAACCTTAATAAAAAATCTATTAGGGATGAACAAACCTACTCACTAAAATAGAGAATATAACATCTATAAAAATAGAAGACTAGCCATAGCTGGAAAACAAATTAGGAAACTGAAGGACAAAAGAGAGACTGTCTCCCAGAAGGAGAAAAAGAAGGGCAAAGAAATAAAAAATAGAAAAGCAAAGAGATATAGAGGGCAGAAGCAGAAATGCTTCATGATTTAAGGGATAGTCCAGATAATTGTATATTTGAAAGAAAGTTCACCCAAGTCCAAAGGGACATGAATAAGGATTTTCAGTGCATCATGTGTGCTGGCAGGAATTAGAAGCAGTCTGGCTCTCCAACCCAGGGCAACGCAGTAAGCATGCAGGACAGTGTGCAAGTGTTAGGATCACAGGCACAGATTTACACAAAAGAGAAACAGTTATGAATAATGAACAATTGCAATGTAAACCACAGTAATATTTCTCTTCTATTTGTTTCTTTTTTGTGCTGGTACTGGATTGAACACAGGACCCTTGGACTCTTCATTTTTTTGTTTGGTTGGTTGGTTTGGTTTGGTTTGGTTTGGTTTGGTTGCTTTTTGAGACAGGGTCTTGTTAAGTTGCCTAGGCTGGCTACAAACTTATGATTCCCCTACCTCAGCTCCCTAAGTGGCTGAGATTACAGGCACGTACCACCATACCTAGTTCACTCGCAATACTTCTATAAATTAAAAAATATATGCAGACATTCCCACTACATTGTAACAAGCCAAAATTGAACCTCCAAAGAAAGATTTATTTGCAAGTTAGACACGTGAATTTATGCTGAAATTGAGCCTTTTATATCATATCTTCTTTCATATCAATATGTAGTTTTCTATCATAAATATGCATGATTTAATTGTAACCAATAGCATTATATAAATAGACTGTGAAAATGACAATAAAAATGTAGACTTCTTTGTTGATATTAATAAATTTAGAGGTGCCCGGTTTATACAACATCTCTTTGAATTTCATGTTTATCATACTGAATTGACACAGAGTTAGTGAATTTACTTACTTTGGACAAGTGTAGTTGTGAAGCTGAAGTGCTTTTGCTTCAAAAGAATGTCAGTTCTTCTAAAATAAATGAAGAAGTTTGTTAATTTGTATGTATATATTAAACAAAAAAATTTTCTGGTATTTGAATTGGTTATTGGAAAACTTGTAACTATACTGAAAACAATTTTGAATCTAATTTTTGACTGTAAATTTTATGACACCTAAATACAGAATAAATACACCTAATGAAAATTTAGAATCCAAATTAAGATATGCTATAAGAGAGCAAAATATACACTGTATTTTTTAGACTTAGTACAAAAGGGCACATAATAGATCTCATTAGTACTTTTTATACTGATTACATGTTGAAATGATAACATTTTGGGTGTATTGGTTTGTGTATTATTAAAATTATTTTTAAAATAGATACATAGGATTGGGAATATAGCTCAGAGGTACAATGATTGCTCTAACAGGTGTAAGATCCTGAATCTGATCCCCTATATGACAAAAAAAAAGAAAGAAAAAGAAAAAGAATGTGCATATGAGAAGCATTATCCATCATTCAACAACACATGCATCCAGGTGCAGGGGCAAACACCTATAATTCAGCTACTCAGAATACACAGATGAAGAACACAGGACAGCACAAGTTGGAGGGGACCCTGGGCAACCTAGTGAGACCCTGTCTAAAACTAAAAATTAGAAAGGGCTGGAATGTGACTCAGAGCTACAGTATTTGCCTAACATGCACAAGGCCCTGAGTTCAACCCCTAGTCTCACCCCCAAAATAAACACATACACACCAAAAATACATATTAAAAATAGTCAGTGATTGCCTATGGTGGGTGGATGGATGGGACAATGAGATAAAGGGGAGCAAAGAAATACTTCAACAAGAAAGGCTTTCCCCGGGCCACTGATGAAACAAGGCCGTAAGTCTGAGTAACCCATTCCTCTGAATATGATTTCTTTACTAAGGAGGGAAGAAAAGAAGTAGTAAATTATCTGAAGTCGGGGCTGGGGATTTAGCTCAGTGGCATAAGCACCTGCCTTGCTAGTAGGCGGTCGTGAGTTCGATCCCCGGTACCGATAAAAATGAAAAAGACAAAAAAAAAAAAATAATATTATCTGAAGTCACAGTGATCCTTGAGGCCCACAACTTCAAAGCTGAAAGCAAAAGAAGGGGAGGATATATCTAAAATCACATTTCCAGGACTATGGTAGCACAGCTATCAGAACACTTTAAATCATCCCTCAAAGTCCACGGCCTCGCTGCTTGGGCACAGGGGAGAATGCGGCTTGCCCAGTTTAAATGGGCAGAGCTCTGTTTTGGGCTGTAAGGAGGACAGTGCCCCCTGGTGATGCATCTATTCACTGAATCCTGTAGGAAGACACAGAAAGGTCAACTGCAACCTAAGCATCTAAAAAAGAGGGCGGGTCAGCTGGTGTTTGGCAAGGCGATTTATTGTTGCAGAGGATCAGAGAGCAAGTCAGAATCCTGTCCGGTAATCCAAACTGCATTCTCTTGGACTTGCTGCTGGATGAAGGGGACGACAGAAGTCTAAAGAAAGGAAGGTGACTTGTGTGGGTCATGGCAGACCTGAGACTAGAATCAGGATATTACCCCAAGGAACGGAGGAAGCTGGAGACCTGAGCGGGATTCTCTCAGCCATCCTGGCCGAGAGCAGGAAGGGCGTGGAAGTAAATGATACAAATGACAGAGATGGGGGCTGGGGATTTAGCTCAGTGGCATAAGTGCCTGCCTTGCAAGCAGGTAGTCGTGAGTTTGATCCCGGGTACCGATGAAAAGGAAAAAGACAAAAAAAAAAAAAAAAAAAAAGAAACATTTGGCTGGTCCGATGGCAGTGGGTTATCAGAACTTATTAACACTAGTGTCACTAAAGTTGGTATACCACCCCCCCACTGCTAAATTTGACTGGCTTTAAAAAAAAAAATGACAGAGATGGCACCCAAAGCAAGGATAGGTTCCAGGAAGGAAAAAGACCTAAACCTTTGCAGTCAGTTTTTCTCAGCATTTGGGGGTATGCTTTTAATATTAAAGATAACCCTCTTTTCTTGATTTCCCTCTCCACTTGCTTCCTCTTTGGCTTCTGGAATTCTCACTTCCTCCTTCACATACCAGAGACTACTGTGGGCCCAGGGTAGGCTATCTTATCTCTGAACCTTCTCTGTAGCACTTACAACATCGAAGTTCTGCCACTGGTCTTCTTCCTTATCTTCATCCACTTTTCATCCACTTGCCCCCTCTTACTGAGCACCTGCAATGTGCCAGTGCTTTCACTAAGATGGGTAAGAGGCCATACCTGAACCCCAAGAAGCTGATCATATGGTGTGGAGATATTTTTTTAATTTTATTTTTTTGTCTTTTTGAGACAGGGTCTCGCTATGCCGTTCAGGCTGGCCTTGAGCTCACTTTGTAGCCCAGGCTGGTCTCAAACTCTCAAGGATCCTCCCGCCTCAGCCTCCCCAGTGGCTGGGATTACAGGCATGAGCCACCATGCCCAGTTTAAAAACATAGTTTTAGGGGCTGGGGATTTAGCTCAGCTGCATAAGTGCCTGCCTTGCAAGCAAGCAGTTGTGAGTTCAATTCCCAGTACCGGTAAAAAGAAAAAAAAAACACATAGTTTTAATATGAGGATAAATATATTCGCAAAGGTTTTACAAGGGATTACATACAGGGGAATGCATTTGGTTTTGCCTGAAAAATCCATGTCTCAACATCTCAATTTGTTCTTCTACTCTCCCAAGCTAGTCAATTGACTTTTAGACATTCTCATCTGAGGCACTCTGAATTCAATTCAGTTGGCTATCTGTATCCATGGGATTTGCATCCATGCGTCAACCAGTTGCAGCTAGAAAATATCTGGGAAAAACTTGCATCTACACAGAACATGTACAGAATTTTTCCCTATTATTAATTCCCTAAACAATACAATATATCAACTATGTATATAGCCTTTACATTGTAATAGTTATTATAAGTAATCTAAAGATGATCTAAAGGGGGGCTGAGGATTTAGCTCAGCGGCATAAGCGCCTGCCTTGCAAGCAGGCAGTCGTGAGTTTGATCCTTGGTACTGATTAAAAAAAAAAGATGATCTAAAGTATAAGGGAAGATATGCCTAAGTTGTATAAAAATACTATATCATTTTTATTTGTTTGTTTTTTGTCTTTTTTGAGACAGAGTTTCACTATGTAGTTTAGGCTGGCCTTGAATTCACTTGTAGCCCAGACTGACCTCAAACTCACAGATTCTCCTGCTTCAGCCTTCCAAATGCTAGGATTATGTTGAGTGTGCCACCATACCAAACCTCTACACTATTTTATATAAAGGCTGTGAGCATCTACAGATTGGATTTTGGTGTCCACTGGGAATTCTGGGATCAATCTTTCAGACACTAAGGAATGATTCTATATTTTAAAACCTAGCTTATCCTCTATCTTCCAACTCATATATTTGTAACACAAACAATAAAATCTATTCAAGGCAACTATGGCATATACTGAAGACTAAGATATACTCTAGCCTGGGTTTATTTATTATTCTACAACTTATAGAAAAATGAAATTCTCCCTAGAATCTACCTGAAAACAGGAAAAACAAAGAACCAATTATTTGGTGGACATTTTCTTCAAATGATATAGATTTTAAAATCTAGCAATGAATTATGCCTGTCTTGCTGAAGAAAATGAGATAATAGCCAGTATAGTCATTCAATTTGTTCTTCTATTCTTAAGTTTTTACAAGGGCGTATTTACAAGGGCTGGGGATTTAGCTCAGCGGCATAAGTGCCTGCCTCGCAAGCACGTAGTCATGAGTTCGATCCCTGATATCAATTAAAAAAAAGTCTGTATTTACAGCAAGAAGCCTCCTAGTTAAATTGAATGCCCTCTGGAGAACAATAAGGAAGAATATTTTGGATAAGAATATTACTGACTTTTATGTGCAGGCTGCCACAGGACTGGGAAGAGCTAAACCCAAGCCCCTCCCGGTGAGTCAGCACCATTCGTGGACTGCAGGGAAAGAGAATAATGTCCACACCAGTAAACAAGCCCAGTCTGGGAACCAGGCCATGTGCAGGCCTCCGACAGACTGGGAATGGCCAGACCCTAGCCCCTTCCAGCTCTAAGTGACCGGTCTATCTGGAGAAACACAGGCTGCGACGATAGCTAACAAGGTGAAATGCAATTGGATGCCTGTGGTGCTTTGGTGTTTCACAAACAATGATGGTCTAGAGCCAGTGGTCTGATCACAGGTTCAGAGGATAGCAGTTCACAGTGTGACATCTGGGGAGATCTCCTTCTGAGGGTTGTGGCCATTGTTGACTCCCTATGATCTTGTTTTGAGGTCCTATATCATTTCCATTGTTTTGTTGGGTTGGGTTTTATTCTCTTTTGTTTTGTTAGATTATGTCAAATCTGACGCAGGAGAAGCTATTTCAAGGATAGCAAGATATATTACGGTAGCAATTTTGGATTTACTATTGGCTTGTTTTGAAATCCTTTATTGCATTCATTGTTTTGTTTTTATTCTTTCTATTCTATTCTGTTCTGTTTGATTTTTACTATGTCTGAAGTTGTCTGCAGCTATTTTGAATCAAAAGCATTATGGTCACTATTGTTGATTTCATAATGTTTTGAAGTCCTGTATCTCTTACACTGGTTTGTTTTTATTAGTTTTATTCTGTTTTATCCTCTTTAAAATAAGAAAATCTTTTAAAAAAGAATATTTCTCATTTTAAATAAATAACTATTTTAATTTTCCACCTTATTTTCAGGTTCAACTATCTAGAATCTCAGGATTAGAATTGCTTAGGCTTCCTAGCAGCTTCTTTGCTGTATTCCTAGCCCTGGGTTTTCTCTCCAATTTACATAATCCTCAACTGCTAACATAATCTTTCTCAAATTCCCTTCCCATGAGGTCATCTCTAACTCAATCACCACCAGCCACTCCCTAGGTCTATTTTATCAAATCTAAAGTCATAGGCCTGGAACTCAAAGTTTCTTAATCAACTGCCCCAACATACTACCACTTCAAGCAAGTTTTGCAGCTCTACTCCAGGAAGCTAATATTCTTTTTTCCTTTGGCTTTGAGCCATTGGCACTTAGCACATCTCAGCCCTCACCCTAACCAATATGAATTTTCCAATTAGCCAATATTTCAGACATTGTTTGGCCTTTATTTTTTAAGCTTTTACAGTTTATTGATTCTCTTACTAAAATCTCATGCAGTCACCATAGAATGTTTTTGCCAACACCAACACCGGCCTTTTTAGTCCCCCTGAGTTTCTTCATTCTGTTCTTGAATTCCTTTTGCTATTTTCTTGAAGTCTTCTTCTTCTCATGCAGGCCTTGTCTTCCAAGTCCAATTTTGAGTTCATTTTTATTTGCACAATCTGATGAATCATAAATGATGCCAAAGCCAATTATCTTGCACCTCCAAAATGGGTTCTCAATCCAGATACAAAAATGAGCCAGGCATGGCAGCACATGCCTGTAATCCCAGCACTTAGGAGAGGCTAAGGCAGGAGGATCATTTGTTCAGAGTTCAAGGCCAGCTGGGCTACAAAGTGAGTTCAAGACCAATCTGAACTGCATCGTGAGACCTTGTCTCAAAAAGACAAAAAGACACCCAAATACAAAAATGACAAGCAATATAGTCTTGCACATTTTGGTTATTTTCCCCCCAAATTTCTGTTTTACGTACTGTTGCCTTTCTGAGATCAGGACCTCATGACAATTTGTTCCTTCTGAAGTAGTCAATCAGACGTAAATTTCCTAATTTGAATAGCTACTATGTCTACAGCCATGCCACCCCGAATGTGCCCGATCTTCTCTGAATAGCCACTATGCCAACTCCTCAGGCAGCCAGGAAAAAAAAGACGTTGATCAGGAGCATCATGGTAAGTTTTTTGAGAGGCACATTATAGGGGGAATGAATAACTCCCACATTTTTAGGAGTATTTCTATTCAGGAATTATTAATTTTAATTTGGTGAGTTTTATTATATTTAGCAATATGTACTAACAGGAAAATAAAATATCAAATATTATTTTTAATATGTAATGAATGTTTAGAATAAATATCAACATTTTCAAGATCAACTATTTACCTGCTTATAAAATCTAAAAACAAAATAGCAGAAATAAATTCCTACATGAACTATAAAGAAAATATAAACAAAACTGCCACAAAAATAATTTTTGAGGCCAGGGATATAGCTCAGCAGCACAGCACCTGACTGGCAAGTGCAAGATCATGAGTTTGAATCCCGATTAAAAAAAAAAAGAAGAAGAATTTCTGCTTCAATTACTACACCTAAAACCATCTTCACACATGACAACAGCATATTCCACACATAAGTCTTGCTAACAGTGACAGCATGTGTGCTTAGCTTTCCTTTCTCCTTAGCAGCCATACCTGTCATTTCTCTTGTCTTCCTCTTTTGTCAGGAACTTCCTTTTAACATACAGTATGTGGGCCGACGATTTAGCTCAATAGCGTAAGCAGCTTTCTGAGTTCGATCCTTGGTACCAAAAAAACCCAATGTGCACCTAGCAGAAAAATAAAGTATACATAAAATAAAATATCAAACATGCAATGAATGTTTAGAATAAACATCAACATCTTCAATATCAACTGTTTACTTGCCTACAAAATCTTAAAAAATAACAGCAGAAATAAATTTCTATGTGACCTACAATGAAAATACAAATAAAAATTTACCACAGAAATAACCTTTACTTGAATTATCACAGCTAAGGCAGTTGCCACACATGACAAAAGATGTTCCATAGCCAAGTCTCACACTGACAGGCTGTGTGATTTGCTTTCCTTTCCTTTTTGGCAGATCATACTTGTCACCTGTCTTGTCTTCCTATTCCATCAGGAGGTTAATACTATATTATATAATGCACAGTTAGCAGTAAAATGAAATATCCATAAAATAAAACATCAAACATGTAGTAAGTGTTTAGAATAAACAGCATTTCTATAACTATTTGTTTGTTTACTAAATCTACAAAAACCAATTCCTACATGAACTATAATGAAAATAGAAATAAAACTCCACCACAAAAATAATATTCACTTCAATTATCACACTTAAGGCTGTTTCATACAGGAAAACAGCATGTCCCATACATAAGCATCGCTTACACTGATAGCACATGTGTTTTGTTTTCCTGTCTTTTTTTTTTTAAAGAAGTAAAATCCAACAAAACAAAACAGAAAACAAAGCCAATCAAAACAAAGCAGCAAAACTGGTACAGAACTTCAAGTCAGGATGCTAGGAAGACAACAATAGCTAACACCATATATCTTTGTTATCTTCACAGTAGTTGTCCATTCCATCAGGTATAGTAAAATCAAACTAAAACAAAATAGAATAAAACCAATCAAAACAGAACATGAAACAAAGCAAAGCAGTAAGAACAATAATTGCATTTCAAAGACAAGATAGGAGGAAACTCCCCTTTACTGTATTGCATACTGTCATCCTCTCAAGAGATGCTCAGATCGCTGGCCCCAGGTCAGCACAATCAGTCCAACAATACAAGTTAGCTCCTTTACACACCTTAGTTGCTATCAACTCAGCCCGTCAGCCAAACCAGCCTGTTGTTCATGGAAGGTGGAGGGTGGGCAGTTTGATTCTCAGCCCGTCCACGGGAGGCGCTGTCTGACTTTTCTTTTCCAGGAACGCGTGCGGCATACCAGAAAGGCTGGCTAGTTGGCTTCCTGGCGGGTCCTCCCAGTCCCAGCATTGCGATTTACAAGAGGCACAAACTTTTCTCCTCCTGGAACCCCTGCGGCTTGTGTGGCTTACCAGAAATCTTTCTGCCTTTTTTGGTAGGACATACTCAATGACTTACCGGTCTTCTTGTTTTTTTAGGAGCTCCTTGTGTCACCTGTCTGTTCATCAGTCTGCTCCAGAATTCTTTTGCAGAGTCATTTGGTCAGATACATTCGATTCTTCCTCTATTCTATTGTAATTGATCGTTTATCAGTTCTGGTCTCAATCTAACAAAATGTCTCTGTTATATTTTGTACTTTTCATTTTCTTTTTAAACTATGAAACTATTTTTTTTTCTTTTTCTTTTTTTTTTTTGATATCAGGGATCGAACTCATGACTGCACAATTGCTAGGCAGGCACTTATGCCACTAAGCTAAATCCCCAGCCCTATGAAACTATTTATACCTCACATTTTTATGATCAAGTATAACACAACCACTGGCCAATACTTTGAGTTTCGAGTAACATCATAGTTGTTGCATAACTCATTAACAACATGTATTTCATCTTTCATTTTGTTGTAAAATGTAACCATTTCTGGCTTCATTCATCTTGAGGATTCACTATCAATCTTTTTTTTTTTTTCTAAATAGGTCTCTTGATCGTGAACTCACAGGATCCTCCTGCTTCAGCCTCCCAAGAGCTGGGATTATTGGCCTGAACCACCACAACTAGTTTCACTATCAATCTGATCATTATGGTATAAAGCTGACAGTATCAATATTACTTTGTTTTTCTTCTTCATATAGGAGGCCAATGTTATATCTTTCTGAAATCCAAAGATTGTACTATACATTTCTCTATTGTGAACTTGCAAGGTTTTTTCAGGAATCTCTCGCTTGGTTCTTGAGAATAGCTCCCATGCGAGTTAACTTGTGCTGTTTTAGCAAATGTAACATCAATGAGTGACTAGTGAACTAATAGTGCAAGGTGAAATTTGGGTTACTATATGAAATGGGTTCAACAAGAAGCACAAGGTCATGTGGTTTATGACTGCATGAATAAAGACCTGGTGGCTGACTTCCAGGATAAAGTTCAAAATTCGCAGTATAAAATGTCTCCACATCTACCGGGACATATATTTTATACCATGTTTGGGAGGTTTATTAAGCATGTATTGCCAAAAGCTTTAACAACTTCAAAATGACACAAGTTGTTCATCGATTCTCATATATTCAAGATGTTGTACAAATTGCTGGACAATTCAAAACAAAGCTTTCAAAAAATGAGCAAACAGAAGCCAAATTGTCAGATTTCTTTTCTTTCTTAGAAACCAAATCTCTTAAATGTTATTATTGTTCTAAATATCTCAACACCACACTTGTCACTTCTCCCTAAGTTCTTTAGATTCTGATGATTAGAATGATAAAGTCTTGCTATGAAGGCTTTCAGTCTAATGAGGAGTCATGATAAATATATTTTTGAGTATTCCTATTAATGCATATAGAATGTTTTACTTCTATTTCATTATTAGTGTACTTCAAGACATCTTGTAGCATCACTCATTACAAACAATTTCCAAGACTGAATCACAGTGGTGACATCCATCCAATAGGCTTCACCCTGGCAAGATGCTAATAACATTTTCTGAGCGAGTTCTGAAGTTGTTTTGTTCAGGTACACATGAATTAGTCAAATATTAGTTTACATTACTGTTTTCTTCCTCAACTGAATCAAGATCTTGTTCTGTATTTCTCTGTCATATCTTGCTTCTCACTGTCACAACTTCTTTGGCTTACATGATCCAAGTCATCATTAGTAACTGAGTCACCAAATGACTCACTTTCCTCCCAAAATTGTAAAAGTGAATTTTCATTTGACATTGTACTAAATTGGATTAATTCTACAAGAAAATTTGAAATAAAACATTTAATAAAACAAATTACATATACACAAAAGGGTAACTGTGTAGCGTGGGTGAAACTTACCTGTTGACATTGGCTTTGCCATTCATCATACAACTAACTGGGTAAACATAAAGATTGCTTCTTATATTCTCCTAGAGTGCTACTGAGACACACAGCTGGCTATTGTTATGCTAAAGTACATATTTTCATTAGAAAAGTACAGTAGAGGTGTCTGTTACCTATGACACCCCTCAAGGTCTTTTTTTTTTTTTTTTTTTTTTGTCTTTTTGAAACAGGGTCTCACTGTGCAGATCAGGCTGGCCTTGAGCTCACTTTGTAGCCCAGGCTGATCTTGAACTTGCAACAATCCTCCTGCCTCAGCCGCCCGAGTGCTGGGATGACAGGCGTGAGCCACTACGCCCAGCACCCCTTAAGGTCTTATGGGCCAGACCAACATGTTCCCTGGGTCCAGAAAGATTGAATTAAAAACTATCAGGTTTAGATCAGCAAGAAAGAAAACCAAACATTCAATCATCAGATATTCTAAAAATATTTACATGTTCATAGCATTTTAATATATTTATAAGATTTGTTCAGGGCAGTGTGCTAGATGATAGGACATCATGGTGAGTCAAGTCCCTGCCTTTGTGGGATTTATATTAAACAATACAAATTTTTTTTTTTTTTTTTTTTTTTTGTCTTTTTGAGACAGGGTCTTTCTATGCAGTTCAGGCTGGCCTTGAGCTCACTTTTTAGCCCAGGCTGGTCTTGAACTCACAAGAATCCTCCTGCCTCAGCCTCCGGAGTGCTGGGATTACAGACATGAGCCACCACACCCAGCTAAGAATAAAAATTGAAAACAACGTATATACTGTGAGCTAAAAAAATAAGAGAGAATAATAGAACTAATCATCTAAATTAGGTAGGACACGAAATATTCTGAAAACAAGATAGTGAGGCTGAGGCTTGAAGAATAAATAGAATTTAGCTGGTAAAATAATAAGGGGCAAGAATTTTAGGATTAAACAGTAATATTGGTAGCTCAGTGTGAATGGTTAAATACCACAGAGGAAGTAGTTTGAAAAGGATTTATTTTCTCAATGTTCTGGAAGTTAAATGTCCATGATTAAGTTGCCAGAAAATTGGCTTCTGTAAGAGATCTCTGCCTGGTTTTTAGATGGCACCTCACACGACCTTTCCTTGGTGCATATGATAGAAAAGAGAGATTCAGCTTGCTGGTGCCTTTTTTTTTTTTTTTTTTTTTTTTTGTACTGGGGATCGAACTCATGACTGTGCACTTGCAAGGCAGGCGCCTATGCCACTGAGCTAAATCCCTGGCCCCGGTCTTTCTTTTTATAAGGGCACCTATTTACGTCATGTAACCTTAATTACGACCTCCAGATTCCAAACACTGTACAGCCACACTGGGCTTCCACATATGAATTTTGAGGGAACACATCTGGTCTATAACACGAATCAACAGAATAATTACAGAATGAGTTTCCTGCAGTTCCCCCTTTGTTGTTTCACTCTCCCAAGGTTTCAGTTATCCATAGTCAACTAAGTCTGAAAACATTAAATGGAAAATTCCAGAAATAAATAATTCATAAATTTTAAATTTTTTGCTATTCTGAGTGATGTGATGAAATCTGACACCATCTTGCCCAGGATATGAATCATCCTTTTATCCAGTGTGCCCACACTGTATACATTACTCACACTTAAGGCACTTAATAGCCATCATGACGACCAGATTGCTGTAGCAGCACAGTGTTTGTGTCCAAGAAAGCCCTATTTCACTTAGTAGTAGCCCTAATGTTCAAGAGTAGTGATGCTGGTAATTAGGGTATGCCAAAGAGAATCTATTAAGTGCTCCTTTTAACTGAAAAAGTAAACTTTCTCCATTTAATAAGGAAAGCAATAAATTGTATGTTGAGGTCACTAATCTCTGAGTAATGATATTTTGTGAAATCGTGAACAAGGAAAAAGAAATTTATTCTAGTTTTGCTCTGGTACCTTAATTACAAAAGTTATAGTCATCGTATGTAGAAAGTGCTTAGTAAAAAAGGACCAGGCAAAGTGGACATCATAGCACACACCTATAATCCCAGAAGCTGAGTGGCCAAATCAGGAGAATCTCATATTCAAGGCCTGCCTGGCCTAAATGGTATCAGGTTGATTTGGACTATGGAGTGAGACTCTACTAGGAAGGAAGGAAGGAAGGAAGGAAGGAAGGAAGGAAAGAAGGAAGGAGTTACAAAGGGGGAGGAAGAGGCATTTCTATGTCTATCTGTAGGGGAAAACATAGTTTATATGAAGTTCCAGCCAGATGAAGATTGGAATTAAACAGTGCATGTAAAATCATCTAGGACAAGAGAGTGGATCAAGTTGTTCCACACAGATGGAAGGTAGGTATAAAAGGAAGGTGGGGCAGAGCAAGATGGTAAGGACTGGACCAGGGGAACCTTGTAAAAGGAGTTAAGAGTTCGGACTGTACCCTTGAAAGTGATAGGAAACCCTTATTTGGCAAAGAGGTTGGGTAGAGAGAGCTCTCACGTGAGCCAATTTACAGTATTTCTGGAAGTAGGAAAGACTAGAAGCAGGAAGAAACATGAAAATATATTTACAGGTAAAATTGGTATGTTTTTGTGACCAGAATCTGAGGTTGTAGAGAATCAAATACACCACCTTAAGACAAGATGCTTTGTTACAATAATTACTTTTTTGTTAAAGAGATCTGAAAAACAGCAATAAGGCCACCTTTTTTTTTTTCTTTAGATGCTAAGGAGACTCAGAGTCTTTCACATTAGGCAAGTCCTCTACCACTGAGGTTCATCTCCAGCCCCTGACTTTCCTCTTTATCCCCAAAAGTAAAAGATAAAACTCCCACATGAAAGATATCCTCCTACAGGAGAAGAAAGACATTCACCAAAGATGGGAGTCAAGACAGAGGAATCTGTACAAACCTTGTGAAATGAACCTTTTCTTCCTGGTCACTTTTTTTTTTTTTTAACAATTAACTGTCCTAGTCTACCCCTTTTGTCTTCACATTTTCACAATTTACTATTCTGTAGATAACCTTGCATGTAAGTATTAGTATCTATTTGCTCCTTTGGGTCTTTATTTTTCTTGTGAAGAGTTCCATGTACATGTAAAAATTAGTAAATAAAATGTGTATGTTTTTCTTCTGGGAATCTGTCTTATGTCAGTTCATTTCTCAAGTCTAGTCAAAAACCCTACGAGAGTAGAGGAGTAATTTTATATCCCCTACAGAACTAAGGAAAAAGTGGTTTCTGGTTTAGGCAATGGAAAAGTTAGTGCTGTCTTAAACTGGGACAGGACACATTTCACTGTGACAGAATGAACAAAATGCGTTTGAGATATCCAGATAAAGATGTCTAAGTTAGAACTGATACGCATTTGGGTCTGGAGCTCTATAATGTGGTCTGGCTAGAGCTACATTTTTTTTTTCCTTACTGGAGATTGAACCCAGGAGATTTCCTTACGGAGATTGCCTCTCCACTGAGCTATTTTCTCACCGTTATTTATTCATTTATTTATTAATTTACTTACTTATCTGAATACTTACTTATCTCCTCAGGTTGTTAAATTGCCCCCACTGTGTCTCTCAAGTGATATGCACCACCTCATTTGGTTTGTTTTAACAAATTTATATTCAAAATCTTTAAGCCAAGTGTGGTGGTCTACTGAGATTTGTACAGGGCATTTGAAGAACTTCATTTTCAATTTCATTTGATTTTAACTAATTATACTCTAAATAGCTAGGGACTACTACATAGATCAGCACAGAAGTCTATTCCAATACTAATTTTTCCAACATAATTCTACTGAAAGAGCACATGGCAACCAAAAGCCACATTAGCACTCTCCTTTCATATGATGACCACTCCATAAGCAGCGTCTAAAGGAGCGACCCACTGTAACTTCAATTCATCAGTATACAGCACGGGAACCAGATATTTTCTGATAATGAAATCTATCATGAGTCTCACATTTAACTTAAGGAACTCCTGAATGATTGAGTGATTTGTACTCCATCTAGAGCAGCACAGAATATTAAAGAGGAGGCAAGTAGATAAGAAAAGAGTCTAACGGGAGGGGCACGGAGGGAGTCACCAGGAGAAGGCTGTGGCGGATCCCCCCAGACAAAGGGCATACTCTGCCTGATATAGCCTCCGATGGGGGTAGGGCTCTGGGGACTGATGTGAGATTGATTTTGAGAGAGTGCAGGGGGTTGGGTAAACCTTTACATGCCAGAGTTTTGGCAGACTTTTGGGAGGGACAAGCCACAGAGGCTTCTGGGAAGAAGGAGGTATGCCTTATCAGGGCATAGCTTTGAACCGTTGCAATGATGATTGTGCTGTCTCTCAGATGGGGCGGGGGGGGGGGTAGGAGGTACCTAACACTGAATAGAAAATTGACATTCAAAAATCATTTTCCTTGTCTGCTGAAAGTCACAATTTTAGTAATTCCCTGGTTCACTCTTTTGGAGGAGGGGAAAGAAATAAGGAAACTTGACAGCGCCTATTAGATCCAGCAACATTTATTAATGCACCTAATTCTCTCAATCATCTCTTTCCGAGTAAGCAAAAAGAAGCTCAGAGAAGTTGAAATTTACTAACAACCTATAACTAGTTAGTACCAGAGATTAAAATTTCAAAACCAGGCCACTGGATATCCAACATTGCATTCTTTTCATTAGATGGCTTCTCCTATCAAGAATAAATTTCTGCTGGGGGGAGGGATTTGAAAAAAAAAAGAATCAAAATTTCTAGGTGCCTTTGAGACTTTCCATCATTTGGTCACCTAAGTAACTATTTCTAGTTAGTGTCTTAACTCTTTACCAGATTGATCATATCTCTCCTGCCTTCATTTACATTATTTTATAATTCTACCCATCTTTCAAGTTCCAGTTTAATTTTTTTTGTCTTTTTGAGACAAGGTCTCGCTATGAGGTTCAGGCTAGCCATGGGCTCACTTTGTAGCCCAGGCTGGTCTCCAACTTGCAACGATCCTCCTGACTCAGCCTCCCTAAGGCTGGGATTACAGGTCCCCCACTCCCGTTTAAATCTTTTTTCCTAAATCGTTTTTTGTTGCTCATTTTAAGCCCAGTTAATTTTCCTCCTCTGAATTTTTACATATAATGGGCACCACATAATGTAGCAATCTTTGTTATATTGCTTTTCCTTTAAACCATAATCTCTTTGAGGACGAGGTATCCCATGTGTCGGAAGAATGGTAATTATGCCAAATTTACCCGGTTTTCCACAGAGCTGTAAGTAGGCGCTTTTGGAATGGATGATCTATACTCAAAAGACACACACTTCTTGATTAATTAAGATCAGCTTCAACTGTAACGTTTCCCCTTTACCTCAAACTACGGTGCACCAACTAATACAAAGGGGTGGGGCAATGAATACAGATAGCAAATCCGCCACGTAGTGCTACCCGCCCACTCCCTCAGCCACGCCCAGTCTGTTGGCTGCAGATTGGGCGTGGCCCAATTTGGAGATGCTAACTGGGCGTGGCGTGCGTGGGTGAAGGCGTGGCTGAGAGGAACCTCAGGGTAGACGCAATCGGTAATTTCCGGTAAACCTCGATAATTTCCGTCAATGGGCTTTGCCTCCGCCGACTCACCTCGGGTATTTCCGTTGTCTTTCGGGATTCTCCGTCAGGCTCCAGTTTGGATCTCCGCACTTCGGATATTTCCGTGTTCTGCTCGGAGGTGCTCGGCAATCGCTCGGCCTCCCCCATCCCCCGGTAACGGTCGTTGGTGAGTTTAAATGAGCCGGAGCTGGCGGGGCCGGAACCGCTAAGGGGGGGGTGCCTAAGGCACTGCAGAAAGTGGGCCTGAGCCTGAACGATGACGGTGCTGCAGGAACCCGTCCAGGTAATGATAACCTCTTTCTCGGAGGCTTGGCTCTCAGCCGTTCGGGAAGCAGCGTTTGGCCACTTCGCGGCCTGGTGCGGCCTAGGCCCGGCTCCTTCTCCCTACTCCCCTTCCGCGGATCCTGCCTGACTTTCGTCAGTCCCGAGGCCTTGCCTGCAACCTGAACCGCCTTACCTCTGGTCTTACGTTACTCCTGCCCTCTGAGTGAGCCGGGTGGCGGTAATACCGCCTTCCCGATCGGACCCCACGTTCTGCCAGCTCCTCCTGTTCGTCTTAAGGTCTGGCCTGGCTGGAGGCGAGAGAGGAGGGCCTGAAAAAGCTTCCCCAGGGGCTCGGTTCCCTAAAGGATGGTTGAGAAGCACCTTCGAGCAGGCTGTACGATCTGCATAAAAGTGGGACAAGTTTGCGGCGGTAGGGCTTTGGTGGTTTTTTTTGTTTTGTTTTATGAGAGAGGATGGAGGGGGTTAGGATCGATATTTTTAAATCTGATTTCTAACTTGGTAACAGACTTCGTAACCCACGTTACCTTTCTTACTCTGGATTTCCGCTGGACAGTGATGATCTGAGAAGGGAACTCCCAAGGTTTGATGCTGAGATGCAAGGCCACCTATACAAGAAGAAGGAATGGAAAGGGCAGATCTGTTTTTTTCCATTTCCTGTGATGAGGATCAGAATCATTTTATTGTGCATGTCTATAAGGTGTTTAGGTAGCAAAAGACGGTAGATTTTTCCGACCATTTAACTATCCTTACCTCACCAAGATAGGCTTTGACGAACAGTGCTCTGTTGTCAGGGAACAAATCCTATTGGATTTTAAATGCGTGCTGCAGTGCCAAGTCATTTTCCTCCTTCCATCTGAAAAAACTAAATCTTTTGTCCTATGTTGATGGACCAGGTATGAGACTTTCATCCCATCATACGAGTTTGACTTAATTGGAAGAGTTGATCCCTGTCAACTGCTGTCATTGGATCATGGACTTTAATTTGAAGTTATACAGCTAATGAATTTTAAATATTCCTTTATATTGCACTTGATAAACTTGTGCAACAGATACAGAACAGTAAATACCTTACATAATTATTTCCATATTTCCTTAAGTTTTCTTCAAAATATAAAGTATTGATTTATGATGGTTTGGTTTCCTCTCCAGCTCTTTATAGATAACAGCTATTTGTGTTAATTCCTAGGGGAAATTTCCATGTTTGTAAATTGTTTGTTCTTCCAAAGCTGTTTCTTTCTGTCCAAATTTCTCTTCATGGTTATAGGGCCCCTTTTAAGGTTTGGTTGAGGATTAACATGAAATTAGGTGAATAATAGACTACTCAAGTGTTTAATTTCTGTTTTACGTTCTTGTAATTTTGTCTTAATGATTCTTTTGCCCTTAATGATTCTTTTGCCGTTCTGGACCTAGAAGGTTTTGAAAGTATCAGAAGCATTGCATTAATAGCATTTAAACACTATTTAATAATTTCAATCTACATGAGAAAAAACAGAAATATGTAGTCTATTCCATATGATAATACCCACCAGGTACCCTACTTTTATTAAACTAGTCTTACCTTTAATACACTTAAATAATTTTAAGGATTAAAAGTCAAATTTGTGTTTTGTCTCTCCCATACTAGCTTTGTCCAGTAGACTTGGGGATGTGGTAAGAACTTTTAGGCTATGACTAGGTGAAAATGTTGGTTGTAACTTATAGATTAAAAGGAAGCAGATTATGAAGGGATCCAGAAAATGGTGGAGAAACAAACAACTTTGACTACAGTTACAAAGGTAAATTGATCAGAGGTGAGGCTGAAAATGCCGAAAACAGGAAGAGAATAAAAATAGGACAAATAAATAATATAGTCTTAAAATGATTGATTCCATATATTCAAAAAAGAGTGAGACTATCTGTTTCCTTTTTTGGAATTTCTTGAGAATTCTTGGTAGTACAAGGCATAGAAAAAAGTTGACAGAAAAAATGAGCAACTGTTTCTGTTTCCTGTTTCTTTTTTCTGTAGAGTATTAAACATTGATTGACGCCATGTATGTCTGTATAAGTCTTTTCCTGAATTATCTTTCATAAAAAATGATATTTTATCCTTGAGTGTACAAAAGTCTCATAATATGAGACAAAAGTTCTGTCATTTATTTGTTTATGTTATGGTACTGAGAACGGAAACCAAGGTGCTCACACTGAGGTATCCCCCAGCCTAATTTTAAATTATTATTTTGAGACAAGGTCTTGCTAAATTGCCCAGGCTGAGCTCAAATTTGGAATCTGCCTGCCTCAGACTTTACAAGTTCTGGGATTACAGACATGTCCAACTAGTTACTTTGTTTTTAATGGTAACTAGAGAAGTTACAGTGACCCAAATGACTTGAATTAGTGCTAATTTGGATGTTTATAAAAGTCACCTGATTAAAAAATTTTTTAAGAGTCAAACTTTTGTAGAGAATTATATCTCTCTATAATTATATATTCCCAATTGTTCTCAGGGATAAGACTTGACAGGTAAAAGTGCTCAGTGAAGTTGTAAATAAGCCTTTTGAAGTCATTTCAGTAAGCAGTTTAGTAATTGACTACTATATACTCAGTATTATTTTAGATCTCATTAGATAATGAAATACGGCTTAAAGAAATATGTCCATGGGGGCTGGGGATTTAGCTCAGCGGCATAAGTGCCTGCCTTGCAAACAGGCAGTCGTGAGTTTGGTCCCTGGTACCGATTAAAAAAAAAAAAAATACGTCCATGGATGGTATCTAACATTAATACAAAGAGTACCATATTTTGACTGTTGTATAAGAAATGTAATGAATATAATTGCCTTGGAGATATAGGCAATCTAAACTAAGGTAAGAGAGGAGAAGGAAAAAAGTAGATAAAAGTTTTTGAGGTCAAAATTTAAGAAACATTTGGGAGATAGTACCATTAAGAAATGGAAATTGATTTGACGGTAGAATATCAAAAATGACTGGTTTGGGCACTATGGCACTCACCTGTAAATCCCAAAATTTAGGAGGCTGAGGCAGAAGTATCCTTTAGTTCAAGGCCAGCCTGGGCTACATCGTGAGATCCTTTCTCAAAGACAAATGAAAAAGACTGCCTGAATTTCATTTTGGTGGAGTAATAAGATCCAAGATGTACAATAAATATTGTGAAAATGAAAGGGAAAGAAAGTGCTCAAAACAACTAGGATAGGGGAAAGGAGAAAAGAAAGAAGGGAAAAGATTATGTGTATATAGATATACATATATGTGTGTGTGTATATATATACAAGATGGACAACTATGCTACTAATCTCTATAAATCTATTCAAAACAACAGTTTGTGTTTTCATTGTTTGATCATTTTTATGCCTCAATCTTGTAATCTGAACAATTCAGTTAAGATAACAATATGTAGTATATTAGTGTTAATTTCCTACTTTTTTGAAATTCTATATTTTTATGCTTTTTTGGTTTTTTTTTTTAAATTAAAAGAAATGGAGAATTCTGTGATGGTGGAGGCAAATTTGAAGGAGGGCAATTAAAAGTTGTTTTATTAAACAAATTAAGTTGGAGACATTCCTACTAAATAGGAATAGGAAGATAGAGATAGAACTCCTAATCTTGTGCTAGTTTTAGTCTTACTGGGAAGAGAAGAGTGCTTGTAATGGGTGATACTACAAGTCAGTATAAATTTGCCCAGATAGTGAAGGATTTCAGGAAAGAAAGAAAGCCTACAGGTGAAAAAAATGGGAAAGGCCTCTTGAAGGATAGCTTTAAGCCTAAGAAGATGGGAGAACATTCAGTAAGAATTTGTTGGCATGAAAAGGCATGAACAAAAGCCCAAAAATGAAAATGTTGTTTCAGGAGGAGAGAACGCTAAAATAGTGCAGGCTTAGCTAGCCTGAGAGTTGAGAACAGGAAGAGGAAGGGTTTACAATCAGGTACAGTGAGGTTACAGACCATGTAACATCCAAGCAGAGAAGTTTAGATTCAGTGTACTGGTAATGAAGAGCCATTATATGAGCAAGAGTTTTTGGGCAGAAGAATTATGTAATGAAAGCAGTGCTTTGGGAATATTAATGTGGTGGTACTTGCAAAGAGGAAAAAAAAGAGAGATAAATAAATTAGTGGAGTTTAACAAACTACTGATAGAATAACCCAGGTATGTGGTAATGTAGATTAGGGGTTTTTTGTTGTTGTTGTTGTCTTTTTTCATTTTTATCGGTACCGGAGATCGAACTCACGACCGCCTGCTTACAAGGCAGGTACTTATGCCGCTGAGCTAAATCTCCAGCCCCTAATTTTGGCACTTTCGACATTTCAGGTAAACTTAATACTTTGTTGTGAGGAATGCTACATCCCTGTCCCTTTCGTTTTTAACAATCAAAAGTGCCATCCTGAAATTGCTAAATAGGTCTGGTGCAAAATTTTTATTGCCTAGATTGAGAACCAGTCCCAAAGACCTAAATAAAATTAGACTTCTAAAAATTAGAATAATCGAATTATATAATATATAATATGAAAATTCCACAGTGGTGTTTTGGAGTGTTTTGGCTGTTTGGTTTTCTTTGTACCTTCGTAAATTGTTTGAAGTTTCTTTTAGCTGTTGCTTTTAAGGTCTCAAAAGGCAGCTTTTAGAGGATGGCAAAACCAAAACAATTTATAGTAGTCATTTTTAAGTCAGAATACAACATACAGGTTTATTTACATTGAAAGCAATATTTCATGTTTTAAAGTAACCAGTAAGGCCAGGAATGGTGGTGTATACCTATAATCCTAGCACTCAGGAGACTGAGGCAGGAAAATCACTGCGAGTTTGAGGTCAGCCTGGACTACATAGGAAACTCAAGGCTAACCTGAACTACACGGAAAGACCCTGTCTCAAAAACAAACAAAAAAAAATTT